AAAATGGCTCAGCCCTGCAAGTAAAAGGGATGGTTTAGGAAAACTGATCAAATGAGACATCAGTCATTGTTCCAATGATTCAGGAAAGATTCTTGACTGTTTCTCATATTGATGAACTCTGTTTTTCAGTTCTTGATTTCAAGTGTGAATCAGAATCTAGTTGAAATTTTGGAAATTTTACTACATCAAAACTTGAAATTCTGTCTCCAAAGATATATAGAAAATATAAACTATCCTCGAACAAGAAAAGTTGAGAATTCTGTTAAGATAATCAGAACCAAATAATACAAAATGGGTTTATGAATTAGACACTACCTTGTGGTAGATTAAAAGCCTCTTTGATTCTGAATTGTTGGTAAGCAAGAACAGAGGAGATATCACTTCCTGCAAATAAATTGAAAGAAAAGAATTTTAGTAGGCTTCATAGAAATAGGATACACAACATTGACTCGGTTTCATAGAAATGTACTTCCACTTTTAGAAAATAATCAAATAACTAATATTTCTGATTTGCCTGGAATCTTGATTGTGAGATTCCACTAGTTGGATACTTTTGACTTTTCTAATATTTACGTTTAGATAAGAAGACTGAAGAGAAATTAATTCTGTAAAACGACAAGTACCGAACTTTTCTTATCTGCAAAATTCATTTAAGTAAAGACAAAATACTTTTTTGTGTTTTTTTTTTGGCCCTAGACAAGAGAAAATTGAGTTTAAATTAATTGATCATTGTTGTAGGCTATGTTCAATTTTTTTTATTAAAGTATATGTGTATATAAATGTGGTAAGAATTAAACTATAGACCCCAATTAATATGTAAATTTATAATTTTTATCTTTGAAAAGTCTATTTAATAGAATATTAGAATGTGTATGTGTTCTACTTTAAATCGGAAACATGTTTGAATGTTCCATTTGTACATGCTAAACGATGGTCAAGATTTTGTACATCTAAGTTTGGCATGTTTTATTGAGTATTATTGAGCAACAATATCCACAAATTCATAGACAAGTATGGTTAGACTTCAGTTACGTCTTCACTAACTGAATAACATTTACAGATTCTTGTTGTTATAGACTTATACATTTGTGTCTCGAAGTAATTGTCGAACGAATCATGAATTTACCTAATATACGTTATCATGATATTAAATATGTGAATTATCAGAAAAAACAAATTAAATTTGTGGAAAGAAGTGCGACAAAAATGGTTAAATATGTTGACTAACAAAGCATATGGTTTTTAATATCTATAAACATACAAAAATGATACGTATTATGCATATTTTACCATGCACTAGAAAATATTTTTTTGCAGAAAAAAAAATCATGCACTACAAAATAAATAAAATTATTAGTGTAACTTCAACATAATTTTTGCTTTTAGTAAAAAAAAACATAATTATTGCAATGTTCATTTTCGTTAAATTTATTGAAATTTCTTTACAAATTTTCATTATCAATTTACAGTGTGTTACGACATGTGAAAGTCTCATGAAAATTTGTAACACATTCAACCAAGAACACATTCAAATTGTTAGTTCATCTGGTAGCTATATACTATACTGGATTGGAGATCATGCATAGTGCAAGTGTACTTCAGTCCAAAGCCCTTCAAAACGCATTATCAAGCCAATTTGTTTTCCATGGGTTTGTTGATGTCTCTACTTTAATGGTTATGGAAATAGAAAAAGGGTTTATCACGGTCAAGTCGTCCAAACTTTATATTTATGGTATGGGTGAACTTTGTTTGTAAGTTTTAAAAGCATGGATAATTCGATAGTAGTATGTATACATGCGCAATTCAAAAAAAAAACAGAATAAATTATGTATCCTATTTTTTATAAGAATATTTGTAGAATGTTATTTAATTTTATTAGATTATGTTTTAAAAAGAAAGTATTTGTGTCCTTGTTTAGGAAAAAAATTGGATCCACCCCAACTTCAACAACTGAAAGTTAAAGTTGGGTAATAAAAGTAATCTCTCCTATGGTTTTGTTTTGCTTAATTCTATCTAATGGTATTATTGTTTGATTACTTCAACAACACGTGAAATGTTAATCCATGAAAATAAAAGTAGTTAAAACGCAGTTGTTGTACGCAAAATTATGTAAACAAAAAAAATCGAAAATAAGTAAAACAAAAGCAAAAATTGAGCGTAAAAAAAAGTCAAAACAAAATATAAACATCCAACAAAAACATGGTTCTAGACTTCTAGCTAACAAAATCACATTTTGATATCATACAATGGTTATGTAGAGAAAACAAAATGTTTGATATCTCTACATACATATTTTTGTCATGTTTTTCAAATAATTTAAGTGTAATAATATAGCTTTGAGTTACATTTATGAATTGTTGGAACATTGCTTGCGTCAGGAACGTATGTGATGAT